GACCTAACTTGCTCAATCGAGGTCATTCGATTGAGCAGGTCCTGTGGCAATCGGTCGTGGCTTATACAGAATAGGTCGTATATCATTATATATTTATAAAGGTTATGGACTTTGTTTTGCAATTAGTTTAATTTTAATATTATTATGTCCAAGATGATCTTTCTCGCTCTTTTGTTACTGAAAATTATGAATGCTTAATTTTGTGTAATTTTTTTTTCTAACATCAATTATAATTATTATAATTAAAAAATATGTATAGATTATCTTCTTTCTTTCGAATAACCGAATTATCAATAGAGTTTTTTCCTCTATCAAGAATACAACTGATGATGCATTGTCAAATTCATAATGAGATCTTATTGTGTCTGAAAAAATCTATTTAAAGATTTCGAAAAGATTAAAATGGAAAGAAGCAAAGCATCTAAATCGATACTGACGAGAATTTCTGAATGGATATAATTTACATGTAGCACCGTTTCCTGACAAACAGTTCTTATTGAAGATGTCGACATGTTATTGTATGATGAAACGGAAGAGAAGTACCATTCCGATAATGTCATTGAATAATTACATTATATATCATCTTAATAATATATCTCTCTGTATGAGGTGATATAAAAGAACCATGTAACAAAAGCATAAAACAGAAGATATGAAATTTTAGAACTTATTGATTTACATATTGGTAAATTTGTTTACTTTGATTCGTTAATATTATCGATTAAATAATTTCTTGAATCTCATTGTTTAATCTTTATCATACTTCATGTTACCGTTTCATGATCTTTCGAAGACGTATATCTTGTATTCGGATATGACTGTGGGTACCAAATTATAAGCCCTTGGATTTGTTGCACTCCTATGATTATGATTTTGCTAAAGGAAGTTTTTTTTTTCATTTCACTTATAATTCAAGGAATCTTTATGATAAAATGCTGTCTTATATTTCTCCAGTTGAAGAAAATTTCTTATCCTTTTCCAGTTAAAAAAGAGTTTCAATGAATGATTTCGATGTAAAATGCATAATGCGTCAGAGCTTTTTTTCCAAAAATAGCTGATGAAAAGGATTAATTTAAATTTAATGTAGACATGTCTATACACCATATTCGAAAAAAAAGAATATGTAAGGACAGTACTTATCGTGTTCTGTTTGTTTTTAAGTACACATCAGTAACTTTGTTACTTTAAGTATTTACCCCTTTACATAGCTATAAAGTAAAATTAACGTTTTAAAAGGTCTTTATAAAACTCAGGGTAATGCAATCAACTTCAACTTTTTCTTCAAATCTCAAATTAAAATTAATTTACCTGACGCTGGTTGTAACATATATGAATATAAACTAGGTTTTATCATTTCCATGGTATAATTCTCAGAAAACTTCAATGATTATTGTGATAGAATTTTAATGCAACTTTTATCATTTTCTGGAATTAAAATTTCAAAAGTTATGCATGACTTTAAAAGAATTAAAGACAATATCCGTGTCATCGTAAAAAATGACATTTTTTAAAAGTAATCTTCTCTCATCATTTATTTAATGCGAAACTTACTCTCGCCAGTTTCATATATGAGCATCACAAATGCTAGCGACATCCGATTTTCAATATCAATCATGGCATATTAGGAATATATTCCACATGCTGCATTTGCGAAATGTCAATGTCCTTAAATCGATATGGATATATTTGTAATTAGATTAGTACACATGATTATGAAGCATACCAAGAAAATAACCCATACATTAAGTTAGGAATTGTTGGTATAAGTTTTTTATCGATTAGTCACCTTATTAGTGAGAATGCATGGAAAAGAATAAAAAATAGATACTTGTATGTCTATTTCTTTCATGCACTATTCAGTATCTTTTCTTTTCTCGTTAAACATCCGATTGATTAACAAAAAATACGAAGTAAGAAAAATATCTACTATCAAGTATTTGAATCCACTTGCACAAATGGATATCCAACATCATATTAAAGCAAAAAATAATCAGTTTTGAAGTAGCTTTTGATGTATGGTCGATGTATTTAATTATATTTTCAATAAAAAATAATTCTATTTCTCATTTATCAAAATGATATCTTTCAAAAAATACTAGGACAAATTGATACACATATGCTTATTAAAAAAATATTTTATCGATTTGCTCGTTTAAATAAATATGATAATCTTGTTTTTTATCCAACAAATGTTTTTCATTTAGATCATTTAAAAAAATATTGTTTCTCAATGAATTTTCAATTTATTTTAATTGGTATTTTAATTTTTAGTTGAATTTCTTCTTTTGAAAGTAAATTGTTAGTAATAGACAAACTAATTGATAATCAATTATTGCTTGATAACAATGATTTCCTTTAGCAACGAATATTTTATATTCATTTTTTTATTAAATTTTCTTGATGAGTTCTATATGGTTTTAATGAACGACTTATTCATGTTATCTTAAAAAAATAAAGATTTTATTATAATATCTATAAGGTTTGAGTAACGTATATCAATACTGTTGTCTGATTACAAACAAATTGGAAATATATTTCAAATATTTAAACGATTTTATTTTGCCTTAGTCTACTTATGAGATTAACTTTTTAAAATGTATTTGTCATATACGATAGACGCAGGTATATTATCAAAAAGTGATCGGTCGAATTTTTTTTTTCTTGGCAATAAAAAAAACATTTCGGCAGGGAGGAAAATAACATCAGCCATTGCTCATCATATATTATGTCTATATGAATATTCTTACAGACGTCAGGAAGAAAAAATATATGTTAGCGTCCAAACTAAGATTACGTCCAAACTCAGATTGGCCTAGGCGAATGCTGGATCTGAGATTGGACGCGTCCAATCTCGGATTGACGTAATTCTATTCACTAAAATATTAAGTACTCTTTAGACAGACGTTGGAACCGAACTATTTTTTGAAGTTATGTTTGTACGATGCTGTCTTAAGTATTACAAGCATTTAGGAAGAAGCAAAATTTAGACTCAAGAATTTAATAAAGGTTTTTCATGAAAGTTGTTTTTTTTCTAAAAATTTATTCATAGCTCCTAAAATTTTACTCAAATCTGTAAAATGACAATTGTACCAAATAAACTGACATTGTGGAAATATCACTCAAAAAAACAATTTGAATCGAACGTATATCTAAAGAGTAATTAATATTTTAGTGAATATAATTACGTCAATCTGAGATTGGACGCGTCCAATCTCGAATCCGACATTCGCCTAGGCCAATCTGAGATTGGACGTAATCTCAGTTTGGACGCTGACATATATACAGATTGAAAGAAAATGAGAATGACCGATATGAAATATAAAATGTCAAGACATGAACATTTTAAATAGCAACGATATGAATGTACTTAATCTACCAGATGAAATATTAATTGCCATTTTCAATAAACTCGATAGTGTTGATATACTCTATTCATTGGTAAATGTTAATCAACGATTTTATCGATTAGCACTCGATGCTTTCGTTATTGGCCATCTTGATTTTGTGATAAAACGAAATGATATTCAAAATTCTTCAATAGATACTCAAATTCTCGATAGAATTTGTTCGAAAATCTTACCTCGAATTAACGAAAAAGTAAACAAATTGACTGTTGATCAATATTCTATGGAATGTATTCCTAGTACTATTGATTATCCTCAATTACATTCATTATCGTTGGTCAATTATCAATCAAATATACTTTTACAACATTTAAAAGGTATGATCAGCAATTTTATTTGACTTTATCAATCACTGATTTTTTTAATATTCAAGGTAATACCATATTTCGTCTTCGTAATCAAATTACAAATCTCACTATCAAGATTGATTCTGAGGATACAGAAATACCTAATCATAATCAAGTAAATATATTTATATTGGTACTATTGTTGAGTAGAAATTTAAAAAATTTAACTTTTTTTCGACAATGCTCAACACAATATCTAACAATTTGGTATTCAAACATATCATATAAAGGTTCTTTATCTTCAACTCTTACTAAATTAACAATAAATGTTAATACTTTTAATGATTGTCTTTATCTTCTTAATGGATCTCTCCAGTCTTTATCAACATTGATTATTCGTATTAAGAAAATTAATCGTTCATCATCAATAATAGATAATACAGTAAATATAAGTTTAATTAGTGAAATTTATTGATTGTCTTATTGTCTTTAGAAAAAACTTGTCAATTTGAAATGTTTCTCATTAGTAACGGATCTGTATACATGGTTTTATGATGAAGAAGTTGTTCCATTACTTTCTCGAATGTTAAATCTTGAAGAATTAACGCTATTTATATTAGTTATAAGAACTAACACAATTTATATCGACGGAAATCAATTATATGATAAAGTTCTTAATTATATGCCACGACTAAACAAATTTATATTCAGCATACATACTCGTATAATGAATGATTATTATAAAACAATAACTTCACTTCCATCAAAATCAGATATTCGGAATAGTTTCATTAAAAGAGGAATTCAATCAATTGGTATTTGTGCTGATGACAAACTCATTAATGATAGAGCCAATTGTTATGTTTATTCACTTCCATATCAATTTCAAGAATTCTTATTTATGAGTAACTGTTTTCAAGGTGGAAATTTCGATAACGTTCGATTATTATCAATGTACGATGTACGTCCATTTGAACATGAGTTATTTAAAATAATTGCTCAAGATTTTCCTTTTCTTCAACAATTATCCATATATAATGATAATTCACAAAAAAATAAGCAACATCATTTATCTACATTGATTACATTTAGTTATTTGTATAAACTAAATCTTTTTTGTGCACACCATAACTATGCCATACAATTTCTTTCAGAGAATAACACTCGTTTACCATGTTTGACAAATCTTATCATTATGTACGAAACATTAAGAACTATAACACATGATTTTACAAATGATGTGACACGTAGAAATTGTACTAAAATAATATCTCTAATTACACATGAACCGCTTGTTGGTTCACAAAACTTTTATTCATATTTTCCTTCCCTGTAAATATTTATCTTGTATAATTCATTTCAAATAAAAAATGGCTGAGCAAACTATCAAATATATTCTATATATAATAGCACCCAATGAAATCGTAATATGAATTTAAAGAAAAATTGATCATGTTATCATTGTTGAAGGATATTGAGTATATACTTATAGTATTGAAAAGATTTTAAAATAAATAATAAACAATAAATTCATAGATTTATAGAAACTGGTCTAATCTCAACTATTAACAATTTAGTTGACGTAGAAACGTAAATAGAAAAGGTGAAAATTTGCTTTATGTGGAATTTTTAAATTTCCACTATTCAACTTTGACTTGAATGGTGAAGCAGAGGGTCAAAGAGAACCAACGATGAGGACTGAGAGGGCAAAAGAGAAGAAGAATATCAATGAAGTGCATGATAAATTCCAGTGATATGATCATTGACATTTACGTGTCAAGAACTGGATTGATATAGTAATACAGCAAGAATCAATAGTAACGATCACACTGGCAATACTAATAGGTAGATAGATAAATGAAGATTTTGAGCTCAATATTCAACAAAGGTCTGAATGTAAAAGTAAAAATCAATATGCACTCCTTTTTAGAATCACAACTAGAGCCGGTTCGGTCCTACTCGGAACCAGACCCGGATCGAGAAATTTTTACTCACCTGACCCAGATTCAAAAAAGCATCTGATGTACATAATAATATTTATTGAATCTCTTTTAGTTTTTGTTCTTGAAAAAAATGAAACTCAAAATTTTGAGAAGCTGATTAGAAATTGAGATTCCTCGACCGCAATTACCTGTAGTCAAACTTTGTAAAAACTCGTCATTTTTAGGAAGCCGCCTTTCGCTCGATGAACTCGGAAGTTTTAGTTAAAGTCGCGTTTCAATTCCCCTTTCCTGGGAACGCCACAGCGTTCATGTTCCTAAGAACGGAATGTAAAAATGACATCCCTAAGAGTAGGAAAGAAAGAAAAAAAGAATAAGATGACAAATACGGTTGTTTATGACCTTAGTGACCTTACATATTTAATAGTTTAACATAAACTAAACATTTTTCAGGGTCATAGCAAAATTCACGAAAAAGAAGGATTTCGAGAAGGAATTTTTTGTAAAAAAGAAAAAGAAAGAAATCCGAGAAAAAGAAGGGCTTTTCAGAAGTCTTACGGTGCGACGATACAATTCTATTAGAGAACTACCAATCGACACTAGGGATGAAGCCGGACGAGAACGAATTTCAAACCGGAACATTTGTCTCGCTGTCATATGATATGTTTGTGTAGTTATCATTTCCATATCTCAATGACTTTCTAGATCGTTCTATAAGTAATACAGATTCCTCATGAACATGGATAGCTATGCCCTGCATCAATTATGAAAATCTGTTTATTATCAAAGATATTTTCTTGACAGAGTATCAGAGATGTGTACGCATTAGAAAATTGTGAGCTCTTCTCGCTGTTCAATAGATGAGCTAGAGTTCTTAGGATAAATTACTAGTACCAAAATTTTAAACGAAGATCGGTGAGAAAAAAGCTTATAACTCTTGAACGAGAAGTCATGGCGGCAATCTGCGATTTTTAGCAATCGATCAAATATTATTGGAAACACATGTTTATATAATAATCAAGGTTTAAATAATCCAGCATAATAAGAGTGATTGTGGAATTACTAAAAGAGTAGACTCGTTATTTGGTGAAATCTCAGTAGAACAAGCTGAAACTTTCAGCATATATAGTTCCACTATAGTAAAATGTTGCCTAAAAAAATCATCGATAAATTTTGTAATGACGAGGTATAGTGTGCCAATCATCATTTGATATTACGTAAGATTCTCACTCACTCAATATATTAAAAAATGAC